CCTAACTAGGTCATAAACTGGGGGAAATGAGAAAATTTCAAGCGAGTCTTCTTTCTAAAAATAAAGATTTGTTTCCCTGGATGCATACATTTTTGTCATAAGGAGAGGAGGATCATCCCTTCTCTCTCTAACTGCTATTCCTCCTGGGTCCATCTCCCCGCTCCTCTCTAATGGCGAAGTCTTTGACATACACGAAAAGCTTTCATTATTACAGGCCCTGTAGGTTGTTAGGGTCTTGGGGTTTTTTGTGTTTTTTTGTGTTTTGTTTTTTTTTTTTTTTTAGCTCCTACCCGGCCCTCGTCTTTAAATGGCCTTTTGTGAATATACGCCATTCACAAGCTACATGGTTGAATTGTGGTCTACATCCCTGTGCCACTCCATGTTCCCAGAGCTCCTCTCTGGAACAATCTACTCGGCCCACCCCCAGGTCTGGGACATCCTCAACCCCGGAGCTTCCCGATCAGGGAGCCCGAGCTATGCAAAGGAATCTCCTTCCACTGCTTTTTTTTTTTTTTTTTTTTTTTTTTTTAATTTAAATCCAAGTTAGTTAACGTATGGTGTAATAATGATTTCAGGAATAGAATTTAGTGATTCCTCACTTACATATAACACCCAGTGCTCATCCCAGCAAGTGTCCTCCTTAATGCCCCTTGCCCATCTAGCCTATGCCCCTACCCACCCCCCTTCCAGCAACCCTCATTTTGTTCTCTGTATTTAAGAATCTCTTATGGCTTGTCTCCCTCTCTGTTTTTATATTAGTTTTGCTTCCCTTCCCTTATGTGCATCTGTTTTGTATCTTAAATTCCACATATGACTGAAGTCATATGATATTTGTCTTTCTCTGACTGACTTATTTCACTTAGCATAATACACTTTAGTTCCATCCACGCTGTTGCAAATGGCAAGATTTCATTCTTTTTGACCGCCGAGTAATATTCCTGTGTGTGTGTGTGTGTGTGTGTGTGTGTGTGTGTGTGTATACACCACATCTTCTTTATCCATTCATCCATCGATGGCCATTTGGGCTGTTTCCATACTTTGGCTATTGTGGATAGTGCTGCTAAAAACATTGAGGTGTATGTGCCCCTTTGATATAGCATTCCTGTATCCTTTGGATAAATACCCAGTAGTGCAATTGCTGGGTCATAGGGCAGTTCTATTTTTAATTTTTGGAGGAACCTCCATACTGTTTTCCAGAGTGGCTGCACCAGCTTGCATTCCCACCAGCAGTGCAAAAGGGATCCTCTTTCTCTGCATCCTTGCCAACATCCGTTCTTGTCTGAGTTGTTAATTTTAGCCATTCTGACAGGTGTGAGGTGGTTCTGACTTGTACTTCTCTGATGATAAGCGATGTTGAGCGTCTTTTCATGTGTCGGTTAGCTATCTGGATGTCTTCTTTGGAGAAGTGTCTATTCATATCTTTTGCCCATTTCTTCACTGGATTATTTGGTTTTTGGGTGTTGATTTTGATACATTCTTTATAAATTTTAGATACTCACCCTTTTTCTGATATGTCATTTGCAAATATCTTCTCCCATTCCATTGGTTGCCTTTTAGTTTTGCTGATTTTTTCCTTCACTGTGCAACAGATTTTATCTTAATGAGGTCCCAATAGTTCATTTTTGCTTTTGTTTCCCTTGCCTCCAGAGACATTTCAAGTAAGAACTTTCTGTAACCGAGGTCAAACAGGTTGTTGCCTGTTTTCCTGTCTAGGATTTTGATGGCTTCCTGCCTTACGTTTAGGTCTTTCATCCATTTTGAGTTTATTTTTGTGTCTGGTGTAAGAAAGTGGTCCAGGTTCATTCTTCTGCATGTCGTGTCCAGTTTTCCCAACACCACTTGCTGAAGAGACTGTCGTTTTTTTCCATTGGATACTCTTTCCTGTTTTATCAAAAATTAGTTGGCCATATGTTTGTGGGTCCATTTCTGGGTTCTTTATCCTGTTCCATTGATCTGTGTGTCTGTTTTTGTGTCAGGACCATACTGTATTGATGATTACAGCTTTGTAATACAGTTTGAAATCCAGGATTGTGATGCCTCCAGCTTTGGTTTTCTTTTTCAGGATTGCTTTGGCTATTCAGGGTCTTTTCTGGTTCCACACAAATTTTAGGATTGTTTGTTCTAGCTCTGTGAAGAGTGCTGGTGTTATTTTGATAGGGATTGCATTGAATATGTAGATTGCTTTGGGTTGTATCGGCATTTTAACAATATTTGTTCTTTCATCCCGTGAGCATGGAATGTTTTTCATTTTGTGTGTGTGTGTGTTCTTCAACTTCTTTCAGAATTTTTCTACAGTTTTCAGTGTATAGATTTTTCCTCTTTGGTTAGGTTTATTCTAGGTATTTTATGGGTTTTGGTGCAATTGTAAATGAGATCAGTTCCTTGATTTCTCTTTCTGCTGCTTCATTATTAGTGTGTAGAAATGCAACCAATTTCAATACATTGATTTTATATGCTGCAACTTAGCTGAATTCATGGATCAGTTCTAGCAGTTCTTTGGTGGAATCTTTTGGGTTTTCCATATCGAGTATCATGTCATCTGCGAAGAGTGGAAGTTCGACTTCCTCCTTGCCTTTTATTCCTTTGTGTTGTCTGACTGCTGAGGCTAGGACTTCCATCACTATGTTGAATAACAGTGGTGAGAGTGGATGTTTCCACTGCTTCTTAACCCTTGTAAGTATCTTGGAACGCTATGAGACCATTCAGTTAATGCTCCCTTATAACTGTCCTCCGTGCAGTGACTCTAAAGTATTAATGTTCAAAGACAAGGGAAATGAAGTCTCAGGAAACAGGTGTTCTTTGGGAGAATTTGGGTCTTAATTAACTGGGGCTTCTCTGAAATCTCTTCCCAATTATGCAAGGGGAAAAGTGCTACTCGGGATAGGAGCTAAATATGGGGATTCATCCCCTTGAAGGTCACCCTCGATTAGGCAAAGACATTGTCAGGGGGATTAAATTAAAAGAAACGACTTTCACCCCTTTGGTAAGGAAATTAAAAGGCCCTGCTGCCCAATGAGTAGGCAGGATATTGATGACACTAATTGACTTGCACTTGAGAGAAATACTGAATTGGAGAAGGGATTTTTGGATGAAAACCTCCTCTCTGACTTTTAATTTAAAAGTTTCTCTAGCTCTCCTGCCAAGCAGGGTCTCCATCAGTGGGACATAAATCCACAGAGAAAAGAGAACTGAACTGGAGAGAATCTCCCTACCAGACTCTAATTTCTACTCTTGTGAGGTTTTTTTTCCCCCCAGGAGAGAAACACATTTTTAAGCAAGAGAAGATACTCCTTAAGTGTTAAAGTTGGTGATGTATGTAAACAGTGTTTTAGGAAGCCTCAGAATAATAGATGGTTCTGGAATAGCTTAGTTCAGTAATTCCAACTTCTATCCCCTGGGGTGATTTCAACATCTGAGCCTTCTATCATTGCGTCCATCCAGCTCCACCCTCCCAGTCCTGAGAGAAAGCCATGCCTCTCTTGAGGGGTGGGTGGGCTTTAAATTGTTGGTCTTCCTTGGGACCCTGAAATCAACCCCCAAAAGTTCATTTTCCCCCTAAAACTTCTGTCAGATCCTCTGTGCTAACCCTCCTAGACAGGACGGTGGTCTGTCCCACCTGCTCCCAGCTCTCTGTAATCACTTTACACAAAGTGATTACACCAAATCTGACACCTAATGAGACTCGAGGGTCACTGCTCGGGCACAGGATCCCCAAAATCTCTCACAGGAGAGGTAAACTCACCGAGAAGGAACTGGACAGGAAAACAGGCTATCACTACAGACACTCACACGTCCGTCCCTCCTTAAACCTTTAAGTTGGAAAGTTTTCCCGGATCCGCATCTGGCACAGAACCATGGGGATACTCAAAACTAACAAATCGTTTTCTGAAGCTATCATTAAGCCATCAAAAAGGTCAGAGGGTCTAGAGGAGAGTGTCCCAACTCTGACACTGCCCTTCTCAACCTGAGTTTAGGAACCTCCTGTCGTATGCCGCATGCCATCAAAATGGATCCTGTCGCCCAAGAAACCACACTCTCCAAAAACCCGGAAGGCAACTGACTTCAGCTTGAAAACCACTACCAGAGAACACTTTGAACTCACTGTTCATTGTGTGATTAGGCCAAGCCTGCAGTTGAGTCATTTTCACCAATGTCTTACTTTCTCCTACTTAGCTTGTGGGTGATTTGAAGACAAAGGCTTTTCTGTTAACCGGCCATGTTACTCAGTACCTGGGCAAATATTTGGCCCTCCAGATGTGTGTACCTCACCTGTTTCATAGGCTTTCTGGTATTTTTCACCACGCAAGGCAGCTTTCCAACCTAATATTTATATCATACTTTACAGTCTACACAATGTTTTCCCAACCATATTCCCATTAGGTCCTTAGAACCTCATTGTGAGATAGGCATGCATTTTTACAGATGGAGGGACAGAGGGGTGCTTGGCTCATTACATGACCCAGCAGGGAGAACCCACGATCCAACCACCGCCCCGTATTTTGTGTGTGCTACACCTTGCTGCCTCGAAGCCAGAACTGTTTCCAAGCTCAATTTTTTCATAAGCTAGACAGCCTCTGGGGTAAAACAACTGGATGTACTTATGTCCTCGGAAAGTGTAAATAAAAACCCGAACTGTCCAAAATGAAGGCAACGCCATGTGATGTGAATATAGAGTATCATTTAAATGGGTCCCTGAGCTACGTAAAAGGCCTAAACTCTGTCTGGCCCACTTAGGTGGTCGAGCTGGGCGTCCCTTCGCTTCTCCAGGCCTCGGTTTCCCCCTCTGTGGAGGAGGGCTGGTCCTAGAGTCTACACTGGATGAAGATCTCTTCCGCTCCCTTGCTGTCCAAGCCTGTTTCACCCCGGCCTCTGCGGTGAACTCAACGTAGGTCACGCAAAGGAGGCCCAGCGGGAGGCAGAGGAGCCCTGGTCTGCCCTGCCTGAGCAAACCGGGACAGAAGGGCGCGGACCCCGTAGCCCGCCCCGTCATCCCTCTGCAGCCCGGCAGCCGTAGCCAGGGGCCTGAGCGGGTTGCCAGGGAGGCGCCGGCCAAGGACGAGGCGGGGCGCTGGGGTCTGCGGCGCCCCGAGAGGCCTCGGGGCGGACTGCGGGAGGTCCCCTCTCCGCCTCGGCCACCCCCACCCGGTTCCCACAGCCGCCAAGGCCAGCCCGGAGCCCGCGCCCACGACGCATGCGCGCCCCAGCCTCGGCCACCGGCGCTGGGGGCGGGGCAGGCCGAGCGCAGTTGCCGCGGCGCCCGAACACCCGCCCGCGGGAGAAAGGCGCGCGTGTCTAATTAACACAGCTCAAGGACACCAGGGATTAGGATGGGCTGTGCGCGCAGACCTTAGAGTTGAAAGAGGCCATGAGATCATCCTGAAGTCTAGACTGCTGGAGCAGTGGTTCTGGGTGCTTGTTAAAATTCCAGATTCCTGGGCCTCATCCCCAGCGGCCTGGATGCGATCCAAGAATCCATTCTTTACATCACCCTCCAGATAATTCTGGCATAAGTGGTCATTGGCTGGGCCCACCCTCTCATTTCAATGAGTATACGAGTCGGATCATAGACATAGAAATGATTGGCCCAGGGGCGTCTGGGTGGCTCGGTTAAGAGTCCAACTTAATTCAGGGCATGATCTCCCGGCTCCTGGGTTCAAGCCCTGCATCGGGCTCTGTGGTGACAGCTCAGAGCCTGGAGCCTGCTTCGGATTCTGTGTCTCCCTCTATCTGCCCCTCTCCCGCTCCCGCTCTGTCTCTCTCATGTGCAAATATAAATACACGTTTAAAAAATGAAAAAAAGAAACGATTGGCCCAAGATCGTACAGAATGAAGTGGCAGAGCCTGGTGTCCCAAATTTGTGGACTTGCACTCAAGTGCTTTCCCCTCCGGTTCCATCCTTCCCCTCCTGCCTCATGTTCAGGGCATGTTTAATAAGTACCAGGCAGGCTGGAAGGCCGTTCATTTCCATTGGTTGAGCTAAGTGAAGAATGACAGTCCCTTTCTCAGAACACCAAAGAATCCCGTCCAGCGACTCCACATCAAAGCTCCACTCCTGGCTCTGACCTTGGGCCAGTACTGACTCACTCTGCGTTGGGGTTGGGGCATCCTGGAGAGAGCTAAGCCCACCAGAGGGAACGGTGACCAATTTGGGTGTATACGCTCCCTCCCCGTACACACCCCTTGTCAGTATGTCAGTGTGAAAGACTCTGCATATGGCATTAGAGGCATAACCCAACAAGAATGTAAAATGCTCCCGTGTCTTTATGCATGTGTGTGGAGTTGCGGGGGAGGCAGGGGCAGGGTCTGACCCATCTAAGTGTGCTGGATTCTGGCTCAAGTTTAGGCGTGTTCAGTAACAGGCAGTGGCCCCAGTCCAGGACAGCTGGATCATATGTGCTGACAGCCACTTTCAATGGCCCTGGATGGGGAAATGGACACTCCCTTGCATACCCTCACGAGAAGCCGAGAAGCCGCTGGGGAAGCATCAGGGATAAGCAGAGATAAGATCCCTGCACAGGTTCGCACCCCTGCTGGAGTCAGCCGGTTGTCCCCCGTCTCCTCCCAGGTCAAAGCCTGGGAGACAAAGCCTGCCCCTGTAGAGAGGGGAGGGGGCTTGCGGCTGCAGATGCTGGGACCTATTTGCTTTCAGAATTCCCCTCTCCCCTGGAGGGAGAGCAGCTAGCCAAGCAATTACACCAGGCGATTCCATTGCCAGTGACGGTCCTCAGGACCGTTCCGTGGCACGAGGTTGGGTGTTTTCAAGGCTACTCCGACACTCAGTCCAGGAGTATGTCATCTGCCTCTGCTTCTCCCAAATCTCTGCCCCTCTTTATCTGTCCTGACCCAGCCTCGCTGTCTCAAAACCTCAAAGCTGCAACTCTTTCCGAGAAAGCCAGGAACACAGCTGTGAGTCCCATTCCCTGTGGGGGGAGTTCCAGCTCTCCCTCCTGGCTCCAGATGTAAAGGAACAGCTGTGGGGGTGGCAAGATGCCTAGCTGGCAGCTAAGTGGGGCCTGGGAAGATGGAGAACAAAGCAGGGAGATACAGGCAAATGGCAGGGCTCTCGTAATTCTAGAGACTCGGGGAAAACAGCATTTTGTCCCCTGGCCCGGCAACTGGCTGGATGGGCCTTGCCAAATCCCTCAGACGTTGCCTGAGTCCTGCCCATCCCCATCCTGGCAGCCTGGGCCACTGGCAAGACCTTCTCTAAACTCCATTTTATGATTCCCACTTAATCTGAGAAAGGAAACTTGGCTTCCTTTGTCTGGCTCCACCCCTGCCCTCAGACGCACACCTCCCAGCATGAGGTTCTAGAAGCGTAAGTCTGGAGAGGGACAGACAGGGAGTGGGGGGAGGGTTCTGCCACTCCCATCTGGCATCCTCCCACCCCCTCCTACCTCTGGAACGTTAAACCAGGATGCAAGATGCCAGGCTGGCTGTCCAGAGACGGGCTGCTCTGGGCCCCACCTGCTCGCCTGGCTGCACCAGGATGACAACGTATGACTTGGCACCGAGCGCCAAACCCAGTAACCATTTCCGGAAGGACCATGGCCTACGCTGGGTCCCACGGGGTCCCAGAGCCACTGCCGGTCTTTAGCAACCCTGTCTACTGCTGGGACAGGGGGCCCCCTGCCGTGATCCACTGCCCCATCCATGCTCTCCCCAACTTGAAGGACACAGGGTATCACAACTCCTTCCGTTTTAGGAAAAATAGTTTAATGATAGGTTTCAAACCTCTTTTCTAGACGAGGTCCCATTCTCCGTGGAACCCCCATACCAGTGCTCTTCCCATGCCTGCTGGGAGGTAGCAGCCCCTCTCTGGAGGGCACCCACCCACTCCGGACATCCCTGCCCTCCTGGGAGGCCTGCTCTGGGTCTAGGCTTTGGTGGGCCCAGCACTTTCGTGTTTTTTATAAAAAGCGGGCAGAACACTGTACTATGCCCTCTCTTCCAGATGCCATGGGACCAGCCCATGGCACATTCCTACCTTTTAATTAAATAGCCCATTAAATAACCTCCCGGTGCTGGTGGAGAAGGGATGCCACAGCCAACAGACCCCATGCCTCGAACGGCCTCCCACCACCCCAGGGCCTCCACCCTGACGGGATCGGGCCTCCACAAGAGCAGCCCGGGGCACGGCCTCATCTCAGACCTGGCCAGTACCAGGACCCCTCTCCACACGGGGGATGGTGAGTCCAGGCAGGTCCTGCTGGTGCCAGGCACCCCCACAGCCAGGGATGGGGCCGCTCAGGTGGCAGAGCGGGCAGACTGTTGGGTAGAACTCCTGCCCAAGTCAGAAGAAGGTGAGGTTCTTGACTGCTCCAATCTCCAGCATCCGCTTGATGGCCAGGGCCTCTTGGGAGACGTTGTGGCCTGACCCCTGTGGAGACAGCCAAGGAAGCAAACTGAAGGACTCCCAGGGACCTCCCTGGCCCAAGAAGGTGCCTCTGGTGCTCCCCACGGCCCTGCACTTCCGGGACCTCCCTTCCCCGTGCTGGCTCCCACAGGGAAGACAGGACCCGCGTGGCCAGACACAGAGGACTCCGGCCAGGAGTCCAGGGGTCTCGGTTCCAGTTCTGACCCTCTGAGTTCCTCACCACGAGCCACCTCTGGGCCCCTGGCACCACTCTCACTCACCCAGTGTCCCCAGCCCCGCCCCACCCAGCTCGGAAGCAGGGGCCGCTTACCGCCATGGATTTGAGCGTGATCTGTTCGTAGTAGTGAATGGTCTGCTTCCTGTTGTGGGCGTCTGGGTAGCCAAAGCCAGCGATGTGCACCAGGTCGCAGAGGTGGAGTGCCAGGGTGATGGCCAGCAGGCCTGTGGTGGGCTTCTGAGGGACAAGGGGGTGGGGAAATATTAGAGGGAGCCCTTCTCCCTTCCCCGCCTTCTAGGCCAGCGCTCTGCAACAGACTCTGTCATCCCCGCGGTGTTCTTCATGTCCCGTCTACACAGCAGTCACCAGCCTCGTGCGGCTACTGGGCATAGGGGCGGGGCTCATGCAGCGGCAGTAGAGCTGGATCTCTTCCTTTATATAATTTTACACTTAATTAATTTAACTTTTTAAATTTAAATAGCCACAAGTGGCTCATGGCTACCAGACTGGACAGTATAACCCAACGCGTCGCAGGGAGGTTTGGGCCTTTCAGGCATGATGATGGCACTCAGGATGATAATGATGATGACAATAATAATAATAATAATAACATCTAATACCTTTTGAGCACTTACTGTGTGCCAGACACTATGTTAAGCATCTTACCCAATATACTATATTATTGCGTCCAATCCTCACAAAAACACTTTGAGGTAGACCTTATGATGGGCCCCGTTTTACCAATGGGGAAACTGAGGCTTACACTGTTAAAAAAAACTTGCTCAAGGAGTGGAAAGGCTCTGCTCTCCGCCTCGGAAAACCTCATCTCTTTCAGAAAACCCGGGCTCTCTCACTCACGGGCCGTGGGCCTCGTGATGAGGGTGGGGTGGGCTCTCCCCTTCCGTGAAGTGGGGAGAGCACCCTCTGGGCTGCTATGGGGACCTACCTTCTCCATCCCTAATTCATCCATGGGGAGGGGCAACCTGATACCCTAGGCTCGCAAATCCTGCCTTCCTCAGCTCCGGCAACCTGCCTTGCTGACCACTTGAGCTGCCCGCTCCCATTTAGGAACCACTCCCTAGACCTTGTCAGGCCTCCCACTGCCAGGTTTTTCCTGGTGTCCCTGCCGAGCTCTCCTGTTGATTCAGCCGTCCCTTCCTGCCTGGGCCTTCTGTTCCACCCCTGCTGCGTCAACCGCCACTGCGTTATCTTATCCAGTTCGCACCTTTGCCCAACCCCATCTCCATGGCCTTCGAGCCAGCTCTGTCTAGACACGGGCTCCTGAAACTTGCCAGACTCTCCCCTCCCCGCCGAACCCCCTCTATTGGTTAAGCACGTTGCCGTCCAGCCAGCTGTCTAAGCCGGAAACCTAGAATTGTTATAAATCTCTCAACTTCACTGAGAAATAAATGGTGTCGCAGGAGATCCCTAAGATAACCCCCAATGACCCCTGAGTGCCTACAAATCTGAGATATATTACATTATACTACTCCAGAGGTGCCATCGGCCGTAAGATAGAGAGATAATCCTGGTGGGTTTGACCTAATCACCTGAGCTTTTTGCCTCTGGGTCTAGAGGGGGGCCATGGAGGAAGTCAGGGGTGTGAAGCACAAGAAGGACTTATCATGTCATTGTTGGCTGGAAGGCGGACAGGGGCTGTATCGTAAGAAACACACATAATCTCTTAAGACCCGAGGGTGTCAAGGCTGAGAACCGGCAAAGGAAACGAGACCTCAGTCCTGAAACCACAAGGAACTGAATTCCTCTGACAAGAAGAGTCTCGGGGGTGCCTGGGTGGCTCAGTCGGTTAAGCCTCCAACTCTTTTTTTTAATTTTTTTTTTTCAACATTTATTTATTTTTTGGGACAGAGAGAGACAGAGCATGAACAGGGGAGGGGCAGAGAGAGAGGGAGACACAGAATCGGAAACAGGCTCCAGGCTCTGAGCCATCAGCCCAGAGCCCGACACGGGGCTCGAACTCACGGACCGCGAGATCGTGACCTGGCTGAAGTCGGACGCTTAACCGACTGCGCCACCCAGGCGCCCCAAGCCTCCAACTCTTGATTCCAGCTCAGGTCATGATCCCACGGTTCACGAGTTCAAGCCCCGCGTCTGCTCTGCGCTGACAGCTCGGAGCCTGCTTGGAATTCTGCCTCCCTCTCTCCCTGCCCCTCCTCCACTCGCTCTCTCTCACTTTCAAAATGAATAAGTAAACATTAAAAAATATTTGTAAACAAAAAGGATCTTGGAAGCGCATTCTCCCCCCTCAGCCTCCAGGTAAGAACTCAGTCCAGCTGCCAAGTGGATTTCAGCCTTGGACACCCTGCGCAGAGAAGCCAGCCGTCGTGCTGAACTTCTGGCCTCCAGAACTGTGAGGCCATCAACAGGTATTGCTTTAGGCCACTCAACTGTGGTGATTTGTGAGGTGGGCAGCAATGGGAAATGACTACATCAAGGACATCTCTTCCCATTCCCTTCCCATGCCCGGCTCTGGCCTTCCCCTTCTGCCCCACACCCCATCAGGGCCCTAAAACGTCACCTTGCTGCTCCCCTCCAACCTCACTTGCAGTAGAACTCAATGCTGGAGAAGCTGGCTGGTCTTGCCAAAAGAAATACCTTTTCCCCAAGTCTCTGCCCGACGGGCCCCATGACCCCTCAAGGCCCAACTCCAACCTCCTCTGGGTGGGGCCGGCGGGGGGGTGGGGGGGCGCTCCCAGGCAGCCCCAGGCAGAGGCCTGCCCCTCCCCCCAGATCCTACAACATTTGAAACGACTCTCTATTAGCGCATTCTGCCACTCCATGTTGCAACCCGTGTGTTTATTCTGCTGCACTGAGTGTCCTTAGGGCAAGGTACAGGCCTTACCCCCCCCAAGCATGCAAATTTGGGGCTGGGACTGACCTGCTACAAAAGGAGGCATTCAACATATGGAGCTAAATCATAGTAGATGTTCAGTGAAGAATAAAATTATCTATTCAAAATTTGGCACATAGAGTGAGCACCCACTGTGTACCAAGCTCCATAACAGGCATGTTACAGAATCATGTTTTTTTAATTCTACAAGGGCCTTAAGAAGTCAGTCCTAATACTGTCCCCACCACACAGATAAGGAGAGCGAGGCTCAAAGTGGCTGATCTGCCCAAGGCCATAGAGTAAGCAGGACAGCCGAGTCCCATCTGTGTTTGCTGGTTGCCTCTGAAACTATCCCACACAGCCTCTCTGTGGGCTCAGAGGACATGTGCGGAAGTCCTTGGGAAGGTACGAGCTGGTGGCTAAACTGTAACTTGCAAAACTATACCATGACTCCCAAAATTGACACGTCGCACCAAGCCAAGACAAACCGAAGCTCCTTTAATTCATTCTGACTAATACGTTCCAATGTTAAGATCACAGATAAAGTGTCCTAACAGCAACTGCACAGATTCAGGTTGCTCCAAAGTCAAGGCCATGGACGGTCCCAGCAACTTCCTAGTTTATAAGTTCTGACCAGTGCCTACCAAAACCTCGAACTCCGGCCCCACGCCGTATACAGACCCTTCCCTCACTCCCCGCTCTGCAGATGCCCCATGGTTCTAAAAAGAGCTCACTCTCCCGTCCTGCAGACTTCGAACAAACCAGACTGAATACAGGGGTGTGCCTGGAGGCGTGGTCCAGAGGCCGTCACAGGTGCTGCTCAAATGCCAACTGTCGTCTCTGTTGTTACTTTCCCCTTTCACAGGGTCTTCCGAGGCTTCCCAGACCTCTAGAAATGTCCCAGCCCGATGCTCTGGCTTCCCTGCCCACAGCCCCACCATCACCTGCTTAATCTTGCGAGGCTGCTGCATGGGCAGGTTCAGCAGTTTGTCAGCTGCGATCTCCATGAAGAAGGGGTTGAGAATCCGCACCTGTCTGGGGTTGACGTCCCAGATGAGGGGAGGCTGCTTCCAGAAGCCCTTTCGCACCTAGAGGGCACAGGGTTGGAAGGGAGATATGAGGATGTGAGGACCTTTATCAAGTCCAGCCCGGTGGTCATCAGAGGTGGGGTCCATGAGGTGGCAGAGGCCCTCGGGAATGAGGGGTGAGAAGGGGAGGGAGGTGGAGGCCAGCGCCGGAGAGGGGAAGGGAGACCGGAGGAGAGAATCAGGGGGAGAGAGAAAGGAGGGCACTCCCCAGGGGAGGCCAGGTGACACAGTGTTTAGAATATGGGGTCCAACCACTTCCCACTTCCCAGGATATCCAAACAGGTGAAAGGGGCTTGAGTTTGAGGTTGTCGAAACATCTGGCAAAAATGCGAGATGAGACCATTCAGCATTTGACTGGATGGAAAAAAGACACAGTGGACCCAACCCGGAAGGGCAGATGTCCTATTCTAACCTATACCCTGCCTGGAGGTCACTACCGACCAGTTCCTCTGCCCCAGATTTCTCACACATATTCTGGCAGCTTCCGTGTCCCAGGCAGCCTCAAGCCTGGGGTGCCCCTGGCTACCGCCACCTGGCTCCTGCAGTCCGTCAGGCCCCGGCTGCTGGGGTGGCTTCTCAGAAGCCCCACAGAACATGGGATTCACGCCTTCCCCTCCTGGCCTCTTCAGGACCACAGGGCAGACACGGTGGAGCATGACATCCTGAGACAGGCAGTGTCCCATCCCTGAGCCTCGACCCCTCCCCTCCCAGTCTCCCCACTCACCCTCTTCTTATCACTCAGGATGGTCTCAATCCAGTGGAAGTCCATTGCCTTGAAAGCTACCAGGACAAGGAGTGTGTCTGGATTGTTCTCCACTTTGGGGTTGAAGTGGGCAGACTCAGGGTAGAAGAGACGCATGGTGGTCTTGGAGCCCACGTCGCCCTCATAGCCAGCCACTGGGGCGTTGTTCAATCTGGGAGGCGGGGTGGAGGGTGCCCGTCACCCAGAGCCCCGCTGGCCCATCTACAGTCACTCCCAAGCAGAAGGGGCGAGGGCCAGTCCCACAGACCTGATGACCACGTCGTACTTGTTGATGGCGTCTCCCAGCGAGCTATTGCGAAGCCGGTGCCCATTCCCCACCACCACGCAGCGGCGACATTTGAGACTGCCAACGGGAGAGGGTGATCAGCCCCAGGAGTGACCCCTGCTCCTGCTCCACTCAACCCCTGCCCTGGGTCTGCCTGGGGCCTGGCTTAGGAATCCTTTCCAGGCCACCTCGGCCCTTGATCCCCACGGACCAGGCATCTCCCATGGGTCCTGCTTTCACGCTCCTGCCGACTCCACAGCCCTGGGCTTCGACAGGAGAGGAGACTGAGCAGAGCACAGAAGACACAGGAGGAACGGAGGGAAACCCCTGGCCGGGGGTACTAATAAGAAGCCCCATTTCAAAGCCCCCTCGCCTGCTGCCCAGGCCTGCCCGTTGCCACGGCGACACCCTGCCCGCTACGGCCCCCTGGATGCCCAGGCTCAGTTGCCGTGGACACTGGCCTCCCTGCCTCCTCTGGAGACAGGCAGGCTAGGAAGAAGGGTCAAATTGGCCACAGGGGACCAGAGACAGGAAGGCTCACTGGGAGAAGCTGGCCCACGACTGGCACCTGGGACCTGGGGGCAGGAAGGGGAAGGCGCTCAGACCCAGTGCAAGGAGCGGCTCCTTACCTCTGGATGCTCTCTGGAATGGAGTAGCTGGTGATAGCTAGAACCCGGAGAAGCAGGTCCTCTACAAAAAGATGAGGATTGGGAGGGGTGATGACAACAGTAGCTTTGCAAAGGCTAAAGACTGTCCCTCCACTGCTCCCCAGAGGCTTGGCTGCCTCTTCCTCCCCTGACCTCAGCATCAGAGCCTGGCTCACAACGTGGGCACTGGGACCACGGGCAGCGAAGAACAAGAAGCCGTGTGGCCAAGGTGAGCCCACCATTCCCATCAACCCCGCACGTCTTACCGCTCCCCTTGGTCCCGTAGGGCAGCTCGTAGGCAGACGGCGTCTTGACCCAGAAATAATCCTTCAGCTGCAGGAAGATGGGCTGATCTCGGGAGTAGCTGCACGGAGGTGAAAGCAGGGTGGGGATGAGTAAGGGATTAATCTTGAAGCCCGAATCAGGGTCAGGTCAGGCCCCGGACTGATATGAGGGATCAGGAGGATGTCCGCTCTCTGAACGGCCTCCCCGGAAACAGCTCTGTGCTGACATGTTCAAGGGCCTCCCCTCCCCTCACGGGTTAACCCCGTGACCTGACCCATGTCCGCTAACGCGGTCCCCTCCACCTCGCCGGCACTGAGGCTCCCACCCTGTGCAACCCTCTATCCACCTCACCCTGGCCGTGCCCTGTCCCGCCTCAGCCTCAAGTACTTACTTGCCAAAGAGCTTAGAGGCCTTCCTCTCTGCCTCACCCTGGAAGCACGGCTCCTTCTTCTCTGGGCTGGGAAAATAAAAACTGGAGACAGAAAAGGAGAGGAGGCAGGAGCTCCGGTCACACCTCAAGGACCCAGGGGCATAGCAGCATACAATCCTGTCAACCCAAGTTCGCCCTTCGCCCTGAAACCAACTCGTTCTGGATCCAGCTCTTCCTTTCTCCTGAACTCCCCAGGTGGGGGCCCTGGGGAGCCATCCCAGACCCTACCCGCCAAACCCACCACCTGCCCTCCTGGAGGCATTTCGTGCTAGTAGCTCAAGGGAGGGGTCACGCCCCGGCCCTCAACACCCTCCTGGCCCCGCTAGGTCTGCCGCCTCATGACGCCCCATCCCTGAGCCCACGCCTGAGTAGAACCAATGGAAGGACATGGAAACTGGACTCACAGCTCAATGTACCTGTCTTCTCGGGAGATGGAATACCACACCATGACGATCAGGACCAGCGTCAACATGGCCAGGAGCTTCAAGCCTGCAGGGCACATGCACAGAGGAGCTAGAGGCTGAGACAGGCGGGTAGAGCGCCAGTCCACCTGCCCTGTTTTGGGCCCTTACAACCTCCAGCTCAAGCAGACCCAGTCCTTGGCCCTGGCCTGGCCCTAGTTTTCCAGCAGAGGGCTTGGACCTGAGTGTTTCCACGGTCTTTGAAGATGAAGAGAGGGCCCCCTGGCTCCCTGCCTGTCCCTCCACAACCCCCAAGGGGACCCAGGATGACGCTGAAGACAGCTTCTGGGGGGCCCATCCTTCAGGGCGGGGGAGCCCTGGGACAACACTCACGGGATTTGCTGATCATGTTTCTCAGCGGGTAGCAGGGTTCCTGGGGAGAGCTGTCATCCCGGCTGCCTCGGGCCACCTAGGAGGTAGGAGTCATGTGTGGTCAGCTCCGCAAACTTCCTGCCTAGACACTAGAGTAGGACACACGCGCCTGCCTTCCCTTCTCCAGAAAGCACAGAGCTGCTTCCGGGGAGGCCATCCAGAGAGCGGACATCCTCCTAATCCCTCAAGGGCGGCATCAGGGGTCCAGGTGGGGCATATGCCACAGAAAGGGAAACCAAGCCCCACCCCTCGAAGATTAGGTCTCAAGCCAGACTGGCCTCTTCCAGCTTCCCTGGCGTGGTTTCTCGGGGCTCCGTGTCCTCTTCCTCACTTGGATCTGGGAAGGGCCAGCTCCAGGAGACAGACGGACACCTCGACCCACTTTGCTGAGCTTTACCTATCCTCCGCCATCCAAAGCATTCCCTCAGTTCTGGCGGCCGCCCACCTCTCCATCCTCAGTCTCCCACTACTAAGCCAAACAGGTCCTCTCAGGCCAGACACTGGGGCAACGATGCACCATGGGACGGTCCGTACAGCCTCCTCCAGATCTTCTGGACTCTGACTAAAACGCAGTGCCCAAACCCTTAGCATCCCAGTGCTGGAGGGGGAGGAGGAGGGCGGGGAGTCCATGAAGGCAAGTGTTTGAAGGGGAGTGCAGGGAGGGAGGAGGGTCTGGTTGGTAGACGAAGAGACAGGAGACCCCTCTGGGTAAGGGCAAAGGGCAAAGGGCGTGGCAAGGACAGGGCTCTGGAAAGGGGCCAGCTGCTACATGCACATAAGCAGAGAGGTCCCGACACACATCAGCCAGGGCTACGCTGCAGAGTCACTGGGGAAGAAATTTCGGCATCTTGCCCAGCCACACGAAGGGGAGCAGGACACCAAGCATTTTTTTTTTTTTTTTTTTTTTTTTTTTTTTTTTTTTTGTCATCCACACGGTGTTCCTCAGTGCCCTGGATCAGAAGAATTGCCCTGGGCCACTTACTGAAAACATAGATTCCAGGGCCCCTCCCGGGGATTGCTGAGTCAGCCAGGGTGGGACCCGGGGACAGGCATTTTCACAAGCAGCCCAGGTGATTCTTGTGATCCACCTGGAAAGGGAGGGAATCTCTAGTGTTTGCGCTCTCTCACAGAGACCTGGAAAACCTCAAATTATGTCTTCAGGACGAGAGCTGGGTTTTGTTACAAATCATAAATTAATTATCCCGAACACTGTCCTATTATGAAGTTGATGTTTTGCCCCCAGGCTCCGCTCTGAGTCCACAAACACCAAGGAAGAATTTTAGTCTTGGAAGGGGGAGGAGAGAGCAGGGTAGGGGCGGGTGAGGGATGGGGACCAGAGACAGACATCCTCCATAGAGTCATGAGCACCCATCCCCAAACCCCAGATGGAAGATGACCCTGCCCAGTAAGGAAAAGTTCTGGGGCACCTTGGTGGCTCAGTCGGTTAAACGCCTGACTTCAGCTCAGGTCATGATCTTACAGCTCATGAGTTCGAGCCCCACGTCGGGGTCTGTGCTGACAGCTCAGAGCCTGAAGCCTTCTTTGGATTCTGTGTCTCTGTCTCTCTCTGCCCCTCTCTTGCTTGCACTCTGTCTCTGTCTCTCTCTCAAAAATAAATA